GTTTTTTTTATGTTCCTTAATCTGTGTTTCTAACGTTTGAGTAGTCCAATCAATATAACAGCTCTTATAGCAAGGAAATGAATAGTTCCAGATCACGGGAGAATGTAGAAGAATACAGACCTGTGTTATACTGAAGACACATAGATAATACATTTGTGGTTCTACATATTCCATGACCTATGTGTTATCATATCTAGCCACTCGTACAGACTTTATAAAAAAGAAAGAATGAAAATGGTAAATCAAGGGAAATCATCCACAGATTAATATGAGAATGTTTTTAAATCTCAAAGAAGAATTCAAAACTTCTTTTTTTATATTAAAGACAGTATCCCGTCACTCAAGCATTCTCGTGTCATCTGTATCTATTCATTTCCTTGCTGTACGAGAAATTATATTGGTTCAACATTTGAAATACAGAGTAAGGAACACAAAAACCAGTCAACATGCTGTCATCTGTATCTATTCATTTCCTTGCTGTAAGAGAAATTATATTGGTTCAACATTTGAAATACAGAGTAAGGAACACAAAAACCAGTCAACATGCTGTCATCTGTACAAGAGTACACACAGTGACCAGTTTTCAATCCTTGATTCAGCTGAATGTGAAAAGATGCTTAGGGATAAAGAAAGTTTATTCATTAAGACTGAAAATGTGAGTAAGAAAATGCATTCTATGATGTAGTGTGAAAGAACAAATGATTCAACAAACTTTAAAACTAAAGCTTAATAGGAATGAAAACTATATTCAATTAGGACTAAATTGTAAATCAATAATTTCAAGTGTTTGAACCTAGAATTACTGATCATTTTTTAAAACTATTTATGGGCCATATTGATTGTGGACCCGTTATTTTGTTGGTTAATAACATGAGTGACACAAAAACATTTGAAGAAAAAATACCATAAATATTGCAATTAATCTCACCATTTACTACTGAGGTCCTGCATGTTTGTTACGTAGGAACTGGATGATGTTACCCAATTTTTGTGGTCAGTTCTTTACTCTTGAGCAAAAATATAGAATTACGTAATATATATGCAGTATGTGGACTCCACTAGTAACGAACAGTATAAAAACAGTCCAATACTTTGAAAGTTGGTATTTTATAACTCATGAACGTGGAGTCTTTTGGAAAACCTAGGAACAAAATTACCATCATTCAGTTGATTACACCATTTAAAGTATTGAAAATGTAGTTGTATATGTATATACAGGTCAAAATTGTTATAAATTGTAGGTGGCGCTGTAGCTCTTAATACCCAATAGGTTTGGAACTCCATAGTCATAATGATGGGTTTACCTTAATTTTATTAATCAAACCATTTTTTTATGTTCTGAATAATCTTACTCCTATGACAGGTGCCCCCAAGTGGCACAGCAGTGTGTCTGCGGACTTACAACGCTAGAAACCGGGTTTCAATACCCATGGTGGGCAGAGCACAGATAGCCCATTGTGTAGCTTTGTGCTTAACTTATGACAGGTAGTATCTGGTAAGTACTTGTATATTCTAGATAATGTTGTTTACCTCTAGGATGATATATGGTGCCTGGCTGTTTTTCACCTTTATTTTTTCCTTATTTTGATGAAACCCTGGATTTGTTCGGTAAGTACTTGTATATTCTAGATAATGTTGTTTACCTCTAGGATGATATGGTGCCTGGCTGTTTTCTCACACCTGCTGAAGAACGAATGTTGTGTAAACAGTTTGAGTGGATGTTAAGAGATTTCTGCAAAAAGTTTCAACCTCCAATGCCAAGAAGTGTTGTAGTAAGTATATGAAGTAAGAAATATAAACAGATTTGTTGTTTTAAGCTTTCCTTACTTTGGATAGTTTACTAAATATTTTAAAGATAATTTGATACACTTAGTGATTTATAAGAGCCGTGATTGTGAAAAACACGTGTAAAAAGTGGCATGTTTTCTACGTTTGAGATATTACTGTCAGGGTGTGGATATTTTTAAAAACAATTAAAATCTGTTAGTTGAACGTGAAGTATCAAAACACTAGAGTAAACTTTGGTAGGTGTATGCTTTAGGAAAAATATCTTGGTTTGGAATTCTGAAAATAACTTCTCAAATAACATTGGTCACGAGGATACTTAAACAAATATTATAACAAAGTCCTACTGAACATTTAAACATAATTCACAACATTTAAAGCTGTAACTTAATTAATCATCTAAAGTCATAAATTAATATTTTTCTTCTACACAACATTAAAAAAATCAGACTCGGGATTATTCGAGATCATATACAACTAGAAATGATACTTTTCTAAAGATCACCTGCTCTCTGTCCCCCTCCCAGACAACCATGCTAAAACTTAGTCCCCTACACGTAGTTAGTCAAATAATGTTGCTGGTCATTGTGGTATAATACTGGTGTTGATATAAAAAACAAAAATACTACCATCATTTGTTTTTAATTAGTTAGATAAATGATCAGGCTGTTATACTATATTTTTAAATAAAAAAATTGATTTGACATCTTAAATCTTCCCTTCAAATTACTAGATAATCTTTTTGTTGGCTTGTTCTTTTTCCTCTAAGGATTATTTTCAGTCTTATATTATACAGTTATTTTTGATTAAAATTGGTTTGATTATCAGTGTGGTTCCTGACTCATAAACCTTTAACGTACATAATAGCCCATGCTCCATAGTTTTTGATTAAAATAGTTTAAAGACGAGAGTCCATCAACAGAAATTCATTTATTTATTTAATTATCTATGCTAAATGTATTTTTTAATCATTTGTTATTTATTAATCTATTATTTCTATCATAAAAAGAATTGGCACCTTTCATTTATGGCATGGGCCAATACTGCTATCTGCTTTTGATACGATAAGTCCACTCCGTAGAATACAAGGAGACACTTAAAAATAACGTATAAATCTGTGATTAGACATTTCAATAAATATTCATCCTCTGCCATGCCATGCTCAACACACAAAATATAATTTTTTAAGTGAGAAAAAAATACATTCACCTTGCCCTGTGGGGGATGGAGAGAGATGAGAATCATTTTGGGACCAGATATATCATGATAATGTGATTTCGGACCACAATGCTTCTTTTTTTTTAATTGATAACAGAGTCACCTAACACAAGATGTCACTGCACGTGCTTGTAACACTCACTGGAATCCAGATTAGCAGTGTTTGAGTATGTAAAATAAAGTTTGTTCACATTAATTTAGTTAATAAAATAAACTTCTTCTTCTGCAGGGAACATCATTTAATTATTTCAAGCGATTTTATCTTCACAATTCGGTGATGGATTATCATCCAAAACACATTATGTAAGTATTTTTCATTCGAGTATAGTATGAAGTAATTGATGACAAAAAGCATCATAGCCGTATGAGTCTTTACAGAATTCAATATGATGAGGAAATTATGCCAAAAATATCTACATGACTGGGAGTAATTAAACTTTACAAACATCTTCTGACAAGTTTAATATTATTATTATTTTTATTTTTTTTTGCTTATCGAAGTTGTATTCCTAAATATGATGATGTGTAGATAACTTACAAAGAATTTACTTTTAACCCTTTCCGCCCCCCAGTGGCACAGCGGTATGTCTGCAGACTTACAATGCTAGAAATCGAGTTTCGATACCCGTGGTGGGCAGAGCACAGATAGCCCATTGTGTATCTTTGTGCTTGTCTTCAAACAAACAAACTAACCCTTTCCATGACTTGCCCAAGATAACTCGGGTGTCATCCAATTTAAAAAAAAAAAACATTTTCCCGAGTTGATTTGAACAAACTTTTCTTGCATATGTTTCATTATTTGCCCAAAATTTATTCACAAGTTATCATGTTTTACAATTGGAAATACTGTTTGTGCTGACCTGTATTAGAATTTTTCCTGATTATGTATCATAAACACTGGAGAAAAGCATTCCTATTCTTTAGTTTCATTCAAATAGAACTTTTATATAGATTGAATCTAAGTTTCAAATGGACAGCAACTGCCTGTTGTAGAAACCTACAACTGCAGAGGATGACATTTCAAAAGTCTTCTGCCTTTTCATCTTCAGGCCCTGAAGATGAAAGGCAGAAGACTTTCGAAACATCGTCCTCTACATTTGTAGGTTTCTACAACAGGCAGTTGTTGTCCATTTGAAACTTAGTTTCATTATGAATGCTCTGCCTAAATAACCTATCAAAAATTTTATATAGACTGTCAAAAAAGCAAGAGAGAGAAAAAATATTTAGTTAATTTTCCATAAAAGCCTTACACAGAAGGGTTTAATTTATTATTATTATAGTTATTTTATGTAGTTTTGTCCTACTAGATTAAATATCAAGAAAATTAAACAAGAAGAATGAAAATTATTTCATTTCACTGTTATGTTAATCTAGCACTTGGTAGGAGTTAAGCTGAAAAAATAGTACAGAATGTTCATGGAATTAATACATATTAATATATTCATGATGTAAAGAAAACATGTAGAGTTAAAAAAAAAACTGAAAGACAAAGATAAGTAACTCTATAACCAGAGCACTTGCAAAAGGTAGACTTTTCTTTATCGGGGAATGGTCAAGTAAAGCATGAGTAGAGATGGATTGATATTATGGTGAAGAAAGGTCTATCGTTCTAAAGTGCTCGGCTCATCGGGTTTCTTGTTTTTGTCCTGCATGTTGATACAGTTAGTTGAAGTCTAAAAAGCAAACAATAACCAGCTCCTACACCTACTAGAATTAAAAGTGTATATATTAACATACCACCTGACCAGTCAATAAAAAAACTGACAGTAGTTAGTTAAATGCAAAAATCTAAACCATATCTCTATCACATGTTTTGGTTCTTGGGTATGTTGTTTTATTGTGTATTAAAAGTTTGTCTGAACTATAAAACTTTTCCATTATATCAGGGCGACTTGCGTCTACCTAGCCTGCAAGGTGGAAGAATTCAATGTCTCAATAACACAGTTTGTAGCAAACATAAAAGGAGATAGAGTAAAAGCTTCCGACATTATTTTAAACAATGAACTACTACTGATGCAACAATTAAATTACCATCTAACAATTCACAACCCATTCAGACCAGTGGAAGGATTTTTGATTGATATAAAGGTTTGTAAAGAATAAATTTTAAATGTAAACAGAGTCAATTTCTCACATTGTTTGCACCATCTTGTTTACATTGTTTGCACCATCTTGTTTACATTGTTTGCACCATCTTCTTTACATTGTTTGCACCATCTTGTTTACATTGTTTACACCATCTTGTTTACATTGTTTACACCATCTTGTTTACATTGTTTGCACCATCTTGTTTACATTGTTTGCACCATCTTCTTTACATTGTTTGCACCATCTTGTTTATATTGTTTGCACCATCTTGTTTACATTGTTTGCACCATCTTGTTTATATTGTTTGCACCATCTTGTTTACATTGTTTGCACCATCTTGTTTACATTGTTTGCACCATCTTGTTTACATTGTTTTACTAGAAAGGAAGATTCGCAGGATTTTCATTTTTTATAATTGTTGTGCCAAACAATGAACAGGTTCTCATTTATAAAAAGTTTATTTGGGTACTTTAATAAAGGCATACATATTTTCAGGATACTAAAATAGATACAATTTTCGTTTGTGTTTTATATCTTTATAAATATATATAGTTGAATTGGTCATTTCCACCTGAAAGATGTCTGATCATTTGCTAAAATACTCTGTTACCTTTGTTGCTTCAGGAAAATAATTCCAAGGAGGGTATTTATAACAGAAGTTGATATGTCTCATTTTTTAAAACCATTAAGACTTGGATGTAGTACTTAATTTTTTCAATCTCATGAGTTAATCAAATTGGTAGACAAGATGCCCAGGGGTGGCTGATCCTGAAAGATTCCGACATCTGATTGATGATTTTCTAGACCGAACGTTTTCAACTGATGCTTGCTTGCTTTACGCCCCTTCTCAGGTAATATGTAAGTTTTTTTCTTGTTTGTTTGTTCTGAGAATCCTATCAGTTACCAGACAGTTGTGTAAGATTTCAAACAAATTACTTATTATATATGGAAAATCTTAAGTACATTTTTACATGTCAAATGCAAGTCATGATATAAAAAAAATAACCTTGATGAAATTAATAATAAATAAAGCATTATGTGCAAGGATTTGTTAAGATTAAGCAAAATAATTTTAAATGTTTTAATAATTGAATTAAAAGTTTAGGGTATGGAAACATTTGTAGCTAAACCGTTGAAAAGGTTAAAAATATTTACTACTAACGTAGAGGATCCTCTGGTATGTTGTAGATAGATAAAAAATGGGAACCACTAATGTAGAGGATCCTCTGGTATGTTGTAGATAGATAAAAAATGGGAACCACTAACGTAGAGGATCCTCTGGTATGTTGTAGATAGATAAAAAATGGGAACCACTTATGTAGAGGATCCTCTAGTATGTTGTAGATAGATAAAAATGGGAACCACTAACGTAGAGGATCCTCTGGTATGTTGTAGATAGATAAAAAATGGGAACCACTTATGTAGAGGATCCTCTGGTATGCTGTAGATAGATAAAAAATGGGAACCACTAACGTAGAGGATCCTCTGGTATGTTGTAGATAGATAAAAAAATGGGAACCACTAATGTAGAGATCCTCTGGTATGTTGTAGATAGATAAAAAATGGGAACCACTAACATAGAGGATCCTCTGGTATGTTGTAGATAGATAAAAAATTGGGAACCACTAACGTAGAGGATCCTCTGGTATGTTGTAGATAGATAAAAAATGGGAACCACTAACGTAGAGGATCCTCTGGTATGTTGTAGATAGATAAAAAATGGGAACCACTAATGTAGAGGATTCTCTGATATGTTGTAGATAGATAAAAAATGGGAACCACTAACATAGAGGATCCTCTGGTATGTTGTAGATAGATAAAAAATAGGAACCACTTATGTAGAAGATCCTCTGGTACGTTGTAGATAGATAAAAAATGGGAACTAATAACGTAGAAGATCCTCTGGTATGCTGTAGATAGATAAAAAAAAAGACACCTATGCTTACAAGTGTAATTGAAATGAGTATTTTTATAATCTTACAGATTGCTTTAGCTGCAGTTCTTTATGCATCAAATAAACTAAAAGAAACTTTGGAAACGTAAGTAAAATATTTATAATGTGTGCTTTAACTTCTACTAAAAGATATATGTACATTTATATATATTAATTATTTATTTATCAGCAAAGTAAAAAATTAATTTTGACATGCATCCTTAAGACTTTCAGTAACAATGCAGCTGTTATCACAAACCCTCAGCAAAGAGATATTAAACAAACATTATTTACAACAGCTTCTGACCATTAATAAAAGTACAGAGACATCTCGAAAGTAAATAGACACCACAATTTTTTTCAATAGTCATTTATCTCACATTATCAACTTGACAAAAAATGTTTACAAATGTGCATCAGTACTTAGTCGATTTGCCACTAGCATTTTTCAGTACTTTCACCCGTTCTGGCATGGAATCGATGAGT